CTTGATTAATTAATCAAATAAATTGTACAGTCTTTTTTCTAGAACTCGTTTAATATGTTTCATTTGAATTACAATTATTTCCAATGATTCTCTGTCCAAGAAAAATTTATTTTCGAATAAAAAGAAACTAATGAAAATTCTACAATCGTTTTGTAAATGGAATTAAGATTTTGCACAGTATGTCTGTAAAAAGTAACTGTAAATCTACGTGCCATTTCATTAGCATCTCAATCGATGAACTCGGTGCTTTACTTTCAACGTAACAAATCTTGCCTCACGTTCACGAAACTAACAACGTGTCTAAATTTTCTTAATATTATTGTTCTCCGAGTGAAAATATCGAACAAAATAATATAATAAAAAAAGAAACCAAACGTCTACACATAAAATTATTATACATCAACGTATCTTTTATAAATTATTTACACAATCCTGTTTTGATTTTTCTTTCTTATTTCTTTTTTTTTTACTTCTATACAAACAATTTAGTTAGAATTCGAAGGAAAATTTACACGCTTACGTATGTGTGCGTTAAAATTATGAAGAATATTATCCTTTCGAAGAAAAAAATGATGCAACCAGTGATCACATTTGCGATAGAATTTCTCATTAGAGCAATGTTGCACGTTGTAAGTTGCACCTGGCGATTATGGGCAGTTTTGTGAAACGCATAGAATGTGGAGAGGGGATGGGGGGAACCATGGTTATTCTCCCTTTCCCTTTGTACAAATTAGGAGCTTTAATATCGTTGGTTTGTTAAGTAAAAGCTGTTGTATAAATCAGCACGTTTACTCGACCGCAAAACTAATTCGTTAGTCCTCGTTATGCCATCATCGTTAATTAATGTTACTCGTACATTTTGCAGCTTGTTAATTGTACAATTCAAACGTGTATATATATACAATACCGAATATAACAATTGCTTTTAATATATTAAACGTAATCACAAAATGTTATATATATCCGTGTTAAATAATTCGGTAATGATTTAATCAAATCTAAAAGAAATAATCTCGAAAATATTTCGTCGTGTTGTTTTGTTCGTTATTTTTTCATAATTAACAAACATTGTTTGAATGAAGGCTTCGAGTATAGAAAAGGAGGGAGGAATTAATATTGAAGTAACTGAAAAAAATCAACACACATATGTTTTGAAACAAAAATAATATTTAATGAGTCTAATATATTGGTTAAGTGTTCGTAAAAATTTAGTGTTATAAAGAAACTTAGAAAAATTTATCTTTGATTTTAATATAGGATCACTTTATTTTGATCTTTAGAGAATAATAATATTAACAGGAATAGTAATCGAGAGTTAGAATCGCAAAACCTGTTTTTAGCATCCGTAATTCGATTCGATTTAATTCGTACGATCGACTGACTCTAAAGGAACGAGTGTATCGAGAAAGAGAAAAGCTTCGACATCGAAAACCAACCACCAATATCGTAGGCAGCATCGTGGTTTTGTACAGGAGGAGTAGTTAACATTTAATCTCTTTTTCCTCTCATCTCACTTCATCCATCCATCGATCGAATCTTTCTATCTTTCTATCGAAACTCCGAATTTAATATCCCAGACGAAATCGCACGTTTTTATATAGAACGTATAACTTCGATGATTATTATTTGAAAAGTCTTTCTTATTATGGGATATTGCCTTGGAAAATTCTATCCTTTTATATTTCTCTTACAATCTTTTCCACAAAATTACAGAAAAGAAAAATTATATTTTATTTATTAAAAATTATATTTT